TCATTGAGCAGATGTGGGCGCTCATGACTGAGGACGCTCCCTTCCTGCTCAAGGAAGACAAGAGGTGAGACAAGACTCACTCAATCCCATGCACCAGCTGGTGCACATCTGCAGGTGGTTCAAGGAGGAGGGGTCGCCTGGCGTCGACCCTGCTGTGATCGAGCAGGGTTGAAGCAGATGTGGGCTCTCATGACCGAAGACGTTTCTTGCTCTAGGAAGGCATTTCTCACAAGGACAACACGGACGGCAAGAACGGCAAGGATGGGTGGTCTCCTGGTTAAATCCATGCACGAATGTGCTGGACGACATCGAGACGCCTGCACTCATCTCAGATCCATGGTCTACCCACTCACTCGTTTTGGGTTCCCTGGTCACCCTTCTCCCGGACTCATAGCTGCCTGTTCCAAGCGGATGATGAGGTGCCTCGCACGATCAAGGAGTTTGTGCTGGACGACATCGAGACGCCTGCATCCTTCTGCAGGCCATGCCCCTCGCTCATACCTTGCTGTCTCTCTCCGTGCCTTGCCACTTTTCCCCCAATCTGCAGCTGTCCGTTCCAAGCGGACGATGTGTCGTGCTCTATGAAGGAGTTCGTGCTGAGCGGCATCAAGCTTTCGGTGCCTCATAGCTGTCCTCCTCGTCCTTTTCTCCCCATTCTTTCCTCCCACTCGCAGCTGCCCGTTCCAAGCGGACGAGGTGTCCCGCTCGATGAAGGAGTTCGTGCTGGACGACATCGAGCCGCCTGCAGCGCTGCGCAGCGAGCCGGCCTTCTACTTCCTCATTCCTGCGCAGCAGCGCCAGCAGGAGCAGCTGCAAGCCGCTGGCCTTGTTGCATCCAATGGTGGTGCTAGCGGTGGCCCGGCGGATCCTAGGAGGAGGCTTGCGCTGTGAAGTAGCAGCGCTGTGCAGTGAGCCAGCTTTCAACTTCAATGTCCCTGCACGACAGGGACAATGCTGCGCTTCGAGGGCTCTTCCCCTTGTGGCTTTTTTATTTTTATTTTACCGGTGTTACGTATTAGTGGTGCAATGCTTTTTCATGCTGTCTTGCGGGAAGGGATAGAGGGGGGAATAAGGTTTGAATACAGTATGGAACGACTATGCTTGCTCTTGTGTATTTATGTTGTGTAAAAGCTATAATTAGGATCATTGGATGAACAACTTGAATTCGTAATCTACAGCGTTCTGGGCTATCTTATCAGCCGTACACGTTCCCAAGCTGGAGCGTACTGTATGGAATCACCGAAGGCAGCTTCGGGCGCTATCGCTAACGTCGCAACGAGTGGTTGTAGGCAAGTGGTTACCCGCACAACGTTTTAAACAAATGTAGATTACACGAACAAGGGTTTTCTTTATTTTGCAACTGGGTCGTGCTCCGTGGATCTCCAAGTGGAAACAGAACTCCCTTCTGCTGGTCCCCACCCCACACATATCGTCATCCGTCCTCAATCCATTCTGTTCCACGTCAGCTTCCTCGTGTGATTCGTCAGCCGATATTTCCTTCCCCAATCACCTCGGCCTTCCTCCTCACCCCCTCCTGTTCTTCCTCCCACCCTGAATTCCGACCCTGGTCCCCTCCTGCTCCCCCTCTGGAATCTAGATTCTAGATTCTTGGACATTCCTGCTCCTCATAGATTGTTTCAGGCAGTCAGGAAACTCGCTCCTAGAAGGTCCTTAGCGCTAGGGACAGGAGAGCGGCGTGAGTGGCGGTGGTGTCTGTCGAGGTGGTAAGGAAATTCGCTCCTGCTCCGGTCTTGGTAGCTAAGCCATGGCGTCTGTGGCGTCGCTCCCTGCAGCTCTAACTGTTACCGCCGGCGTGTCCGCTTCGCTCCCCGCCTCCTCTCACTCCCACACTCCCACCCCCTCGTCGTCTACCCGCGTTGTCTCGCTTAAATGCCGAGCCGAGGCGCGTAAGGATGACGTGGCGCAACCCACTGACGTGGCAAAATGGATCGGCACGGCTGCGGTGACCCTATCCGCCACGGCAGCGCTTCTCTGCGGCTCCGTGGGCCCCGCATTCGCGGATGTTGAACTTAAAACGTACTACGGCACTGCTGCTAGCGCGTCGTCCTATGGCGGGTATGGCGGGAACGCGAGCAAGCAGGCGACGGCGGAGTACATCTACGGCGTTCCCGAGGATTGGAAGGAGCGCGCGATCTCCAAGGTGGAGAAGGGGACCAACGGCACGGACAGCGAGTTCTACTGGCCCAAGAATCGCAATGTGAAGACCTACGTCACGTTCCTAGCTGGTACGTCGTTGGGTTGCGTGCTTGAACGTAGAATGTCTGGCGCTATTGACAGTGCAGAAGGGGACTAACGGCACGGACAGCGAGTTCCACTGGCCGAAGAACCGCAATGTGAAGACCTACGTCACCTTCCTAGCCCGTACGTCGTTGGTTGCTTTATTCTGGACGTACAGACGAGCTGAGCCCAGCTCACGTGCCGCTGTAGCAGACACTATTGAAAGTGAAAATTTTGACGAAGGGCACGGATAACGAGTTCTTCTACTGGCCTAAGAACCGCAATGTGAAGACCTATGTCACGTCCCTAGCTGGTACGTCGTTGGCCGCTTGGTTGTGAACGTACAGAATCGCAATACGCCCCGCTCGCTGGTGAGTGACCTAGTCGTCGTGTTCCTCGTCGCGTTCCTCGTCGCGTTCCCTTTCCACTCGAGTGCTCGAGTGCGATAATCTTGACTGCTCGCAGCGAACACAGCGACGAAATGCCTGAATCGTCGCACAGAACCGCGCGTCTCTATAGCGAATCAAAGACCGTTGAAGAAGGAAGCTCTCGATTCTTGCATGCCTCGACATCCACGCAGCCCATCTCCATTCTTGCATGCCTCGACATCCACGCAGCCCATCTCCATTCTTGCCTGCCTCGACATCCACGCAGCCCATCTCCATTCTTGCATGCCTCGACATCCACGCAGCCCATCTCCATTCTTGCCTGCCTCGACATCCACGCAGCCCATCTCCATTCTTGCATGCCTCGACATCCACGCAGCCCATCTCCGTTCTTGCCTGCCTCGACATCCACGCAGCCCATCTCCATTCTTGCATGACTCGACATCCACGCACCCATCTCCATTCCTGCATGAGCTGTAACCCATCTACGACTCCGACATCTGTTTACGTCCCCCAATCCTCTCCTCCCCACCCTCCTCTCCCCTTCCCGCCCCTTGCCCGCCTCCCCCTTCCCTTCCCCCATTCCCCCCCACGCCAGGCTTCCGCCGTCTCCCCCCGCAGGAGAACGTGCTAGGTGACATTGCGCTGTCGGACGTCAACCTGCAGGTGCGTGAACAGCCCCATGACAGGTACCGCAGGCCCATGAAGCGCATGTGGCAACCAGTGCAGGTCGTTGGTGGTGCAGGAGAACGTGCTAAGCGACATTGCGCTGTCGGACGACGTCAGCCTGCAGGTGGGTGAACAACCCGGGTGAGAGCTGAGATGGTCGGATGGGGATCTGGTGGAGGGAGATTGACAGTGCTTGAGTAAGAGTGCTTGTTTGGGAGCGTGGGAGAATGGCGTCGTCAGGGAGTGCCACCATTGCCCCCTTGAGGCTCTCACCCGCCTCCGCCCTTCACCCCCCTCTGCTCTCCTCCATCACTCGTCAATATTTGGCTCCCCCCTCTGCTTTCCCCCTTCCCCCTTCCCCCTTTCCCCCTTCCCCCGACCCCACCCCACCCTCTCCCCCTTCCCCCCCGCCATCCCCCACCCACCCCGCAGGATCTGATTCTGTCAGCGGACGAGATCAAGCAGGAGCAGCACCGGGACCCCGACAGCAACCAGCTGCACTGCGACTTTGACATCGACAGCCCTCTGGGGCACACGCTACCGTTGCTCAAACCCCCCCTGTCCCACCCCCCTTGCCTACTTCATCACGTGCAGGATTTGATTCTGTCAGCAGACGAGATAAAGAAGGAGCAGCACCGGGACCCGGACTCCAACCAGCTGTACTACGACTTTGAGATCGACAGCCCTCTGGGGCACGCCCTCATTACAGTCACATGCGCCAAGAACAAGCTCTACGCCCACTTTGTCAATGCACCGGATAAGTTTTGGAAAACGTAAGGCGCCATATTTCGTGTCTACTGGCCACTCTTCCCCTTCTGCTCCTACTATTCCGAAGAGCAAACTCTACAATTAGCTCGGCGCACCAGTTAAAGCCTGGAAGCAGCAAGGGGACGCGTCCCCACTACCCCCCTCCTCTCCACTACCCAACTCCTCCCCACTACCCCCCTCCTCTCCACTACCCCCCTCCTCTCCACTACCCCCCTCCTCTCCACTACCCCCCTCCTCTCCACTACCCCCCTCCTCTCCACTACCCCCCTCCTCTCCACTACCCCCCTCCTCTCCACTACCCCCCTCCTCTCCACTACCCCCCTCCTCTCCACTACCCCCCTCCTCTCCACTACCCCCCTCCTCTCCACTACCCCCCTCCTCTCCACTACCCCCCTCCTCTCCACTACCCCCCTCCTCTCCACTACCCCCCTCCTCTCCACTACCCCCCTCCTCTCCACTACCCCCCATCATCCCCATTGTCTCCAGTGCTCCAGCCCTAACGTTCTGCCCTCTGATTCCTGCTGTCATCCCCTTACTGTTGTCACATATGTGTCTACCTGGCCCCACGCTCCCAACTAAAAGTCTTTCTCAGACCATCTTATCCATTCTCTCTCCCCCTCGTCCCACCCTGCTATCCCCTCTCATTCATACATCCCCCTCCTCTCTCCACACCTCCTCACCCATCCGCACACTCCCAGGGACGAGGCGTTGCTCAGGCAGATTCACACGTCGTTCACAACAGTGGGCAGGGACCCCCTTGCCCCCCCTGATATCTTCTAAAATCCTCCGAGAGGCAGCCCCTTGCAGGGATTTTGGAGAGATGATCGTAAAAATGTATGATTTCTTGTTGTAGGTAGGTGCATGCTGCTGGACAGAAATCATGGCGTTTCTCTTTACTCAGGAATGTGAGTGAATGATGATCTCTCTTCAAGTGCAGGACCTCAATTCTGCAAGCTCTCTCACCCCCATTGCAACGAACAGCAGGAAACTCAGCTAAACGCAGCAGATTGCCAAGCAGAAAGAGCTTCCAACCAGACTCCCACAACCACAGCCCGTCTGGCTCTTCCCAACCAAAGCTTAGACTGGAGCACCTCACACAGAGCGCACACATTGGTAGGTAGGTCCCGGAAGGGCAAGAGTGTTTCCCAATCCAGGATAAAGCAGCCTCACACAGCACAGGGCTACATATGGCAGCAGCAGCCATTCCAAGCTAGCGTTTCAATCAGGACCCTCCAAAAATCACAGCTAGAGTCTTCATCTCTGTTCTGGATGGTGCTTAGCTGTTCATTTCCCAGCCCAGCACCATCCATCCACTTTCCCCCCTTTCCTAGTCCGTCTCTCCCTGCTTCATGGCTGCCACGTCAGCTTCATAACAGCCACCAGCTCCTTAGCCTCCTCTCCCTTCTCCCCTAGTTGTCTGTTTCGCCGCATCTTCTGGCGTCGTCATCACCATCACCATCACCATCACCATCACCATCACCATCACCATCACCATCACCATCACCATCACCTCTTCATCGCAGCAGCCCCGCCTTCTCCACCCCCCCCCCCCCCTCTCCCCCCTCCTCCACTAGCTGTCTGATTCGCCGCATCATCACCTCTTCATGATAGTCAGCAGCCCCAACTTCTTCTTGGCCTACTGATCCCCCTCCTACCCCTCCTCTTGCACCAGCTCCGCCTCCCCCTACTCATCTCCCCCCCCCTCCTGCAGGTCAGCCTGTTTTCGAGGCGCCTAAAAAATCAGCAAGCCCCGCCTTCTCCTTGGCCTACAAACTAATCCCCCCCCCCCCCTCCTCCTCCTGCTGCTACTGCTGCTGCTGCCGCTGCACCAGCTCCACCTCACCTGCAGGTCGGCTTGCATATCTGCCCACGCCTCGGATCACCACAACCATTATCCTTATCACCACAACCATTATCCTTATCATCACTGCCAGACATTTGGCAGCTCCTTCACCTCCTCCTCCTCCTCCTCCTCCTGCACCCGCTCGCTCCTCCCTAACATGCTGCCTCCTCCTGTAACTCAGCCCGCCCATTGTCACTTGTACATGGCACCACCCCACCATCCTCCCCACCAAATATTCGGCAGCTCCTTCGCCTCCTCCTCCTCCTCCTCCTGCTCCCACTCCTCGCTCGCTCGCTCGCATACAAAATTCAGGACCCCGCCTCCTCCTGTAAGTCAGCCTGCGCATCTACTTAAGCCTGACGTCATCCCCATCATCATCTCTTAATGTTCAGCAGCTCCTTAGCCTCCTCCTCCTCCTGCACCAGCGCCTCGCTCGCATACTTACTTAATAGCTCCGCCTTCTTCTTCGCCACCACCATGCGCTCGATCTCCTTCTCGTCCGGCAGCGGCACGTGCGCCACGAATCGCCGCCCGCCCACCGCATCCAGCGCCGCCTCTTCCGCCGCGTCTAACGCCGCTTCCTCGCGCCGCGCCCGCGCGTCTGCTCGCTCGCGATACGCCTCCTCCGTTTCCTCCTCGTCTCTCTCTTCCTCTCCTTCCGCGCCGATTCCCTCCTGCGCGGCGATCCCGCGCCGCTCCCGCGATTCCCGGGTCTCGATCGGAGCGCCAAGCTCGTCTAACAGATCCGTCTGAACGCGGATCGAAGCTTCCTCTCCGCTTTTCACGGCGCGGCGCGCCTCGGCTTTAACTGCTTCGAGCGCCTCCCACTCGCTCACCGCCTTCGTTATAATCTCCCGCTCGGCTTCTGTCTCGAGTCGCACTAAGATCCCGTCCTCCTCGTCCCTGTACCCGTAATAGTCCATATCGATACGCTTATAAAGCTCGTACCGGTTCCGTTTCTTAGTCGGCGCCGTCGGCTTCTCGAACAGCTCGCGAACGCCCGGCAGGTTCTTCGCCGCGCCGAAGTAACGGTAACCAAGCCCCTTGCCAGTCGCCGAGCCGGCCGGCAGCTCGTCGTCTCCATCGCCGACTTCTTTACCGTCCGCGTCAGTTATCTTGGGCCCTTGTTTCGCGTAGTTCGGACCTCCGAGCTCCACTATACGCTTCTCCCAGTGGCCTTTCTCCCGTATGAGCTTATTAATCTCGTCGTTAAGATCTTTAAGACGGTGCTCGCCTAGCCCTGGGTTCTGGATCTCGGTTACTCGCCGCCCGATCTCGCGGAGGATCTGCTGGCGCCACTTGTCAGCGTCTGATAGGTCGCGGCATTCGGACGCGAGGAACGGGCGCTTCTCCCGCGGCTTGCGCTTCTCGTCCTGCTTCGCCGCCCAGAAGCGATTCAGCACGGCGTTCGCCTTCTCCTCGTTACGCGCCATGGCTGACGACCGCCGTGCGAGCTGTGCGAGCCGTGCGAGCCGTGTGAGGTGGCAGTGGCAAGTAGTCGGCTGCAGAAGAGGTGAGGAGGGCTAGAGGAAAAAGCGGGAATGTTTTTATTTTTATAGAGATGTTTTTTTGTGTTGTCTATCAACAGCCGCCCTAGCTCAGTTGGTAGAGCGCAAGGCTCTTAACCTTGTGGTCGTGGGTTCGAGCCCCACGGGCGGCGGTTTTGCTTTTCCGCAACATCTCCCGTGGTTTTCCCGTCCAACTTTGTTGCTCAACATTTTTTTCATCTCGGAGATCTCGAGGTCGTTTCCTTGCTCTCCGCCATTGTTCGCCCAGCTGGTTCCAGTTCGTGCTACTGCATGCATCACCATCCCAGGACGTCGGTCTCCCTGCTCCACCGTTCTAGAATCTCCTTTCGGTCGTTCCCGTCTCCTCTCTGGTCGCTCTAACCACTGCGTGATACTCGCTTTAGACTGTTGGCGCAGAGTCCCTGCCCATTTGAGTTGCGTTAGATTGTTGTTGACGTCCGTCTTCCTAGAAGTCAACCATCGTGGTTAGTCGAATCCTGTGCAGCTAGTAGGTGACCTCTATCACGATACGTCCTACAAGAAAACCATTTTAACCGAAAAAGCATAGCCGTAGAAAATACCACCGCCGTTGAAATTACCGTTCTAAGTAGCAAGTAGCATCTAGCGCGATGAGGAAGACCAAGGGCGGTCGGACGATGAATCCGACGGACTCGTTCCGCAAGGAGCAGCGGAAGCGCGAGATCAAGAAGAACAAGGTGGAGCGCCGCAAGGTGCGCGAGACTGGCGTACTCCGCAGCGACCCGGCGTCGATCCGCGAGCAGATCGCCAAGCTCAGCGCCACGAGTGCGTCATACGCCTTACCCTGAACTAACCCTGAACTAACCCTGAACTAACCCTGAACTAACCCTGAACTAACCCTGAACTAACCCTGAACTAACCCTGAACTAACCCTGAACTAACCCTGAACTAACCCTGAACTAACCCTGAGCTATGTGCTATTTACCCCTAGGTCCTGCCTCATCTCCGCGTCGTTTTCCCCCTTGCCGTCGTCCGAGTCCACGAGACCGGCGTTCTCCGCAGCGACCCAGCGTCCATCCGCGACTAGATCGCCAAGCTCAGCGCCACGACAAGCGGGAGAGACTCCGCACTCTTGGACTCAGACGCCACGAGTGCGTAGTCTCTCCCGCTTGTCGTTCCCGTTGCGCGTTTTAATCCCCGTAGTATTCTGAGTCGACTCAAAAAAATTATGGGTCCGCGAGACCGGCGTTCTCCGCAGCGGTTCCGCCTCGATCCGCGGACAGATCGCTTTTGAGATGTCTCAAAACCAACCTTATATCACGTGGATCCGCGGACAGATCGCCAGGCGCAGCGCCGCGAGTGCGCCGTCCTCTGTGTTTCTATCCCCTTAGCCGTTCTAAATCTGCTTAGTGAACTGAGGCGCCTCAAAACCCGCGTGAACTGAGAGTGCTTTTGAGGCGCCTCAAAACCCGCGTGAACTGAGAGTGCTTTTGAGGCGCCTCAAAACCCGCGTGAACTGAGAGTGCTTTTGAGGCGCCTCAAAAGCACTCCGTGTTTCTATCCCCTTAGCTGCTCGAAATTTGCTTAGTGAGCCGCTTGATTGTTGCTGTCTCGTCCGCGCTACAGTTTGGATGGATGTACGATACATCCGCGGTATTTTTTTGCCCTGTTATGCGACGTGACGTCTGATGCGTGTGTTCGTTATTAACTGAATCAGAGTCGGAGGGCCCGATGGAGAAAGACCCGCGAGCACAAGCTGCAGCCGCTGGAGTCCATTTTCGAACCCTTGTCATTCTCTTGTCAAGCCCTTGTCTGATGTGTGGTGTGCTATGTGTGGTGTGCCATGTGCTATGTGTGGCGTGTGGTGTGTGGCGTGTGGCGTGTGGTGTGTGGCGTGTGGTGTGTGGCGTGTGGCGTGTGGTGTGTGGTGTGTGGCGTGTGGCGTGTGGTGTGTGGCGTGTGGTGTGTGGCGTGTGGCGTGTGGTGTGTGGCGTGTGGCGTGTGGTGTGCGGTGTGTGGTGTGCTATGTATGACGTGTGTGCATCGCCAACCGTGTGCACGGAAGCAGCGTCGGAGGGCCCCATGGAGAAGACCCGAAAGCACAAGCTGCGGCAGCTGGAGGATCGGCTGCAGCTGGTGCTGAAGAAACGCAAAGTGAGGCGCTGGGGAGCTGGAGGAATGTGAGGCGGTGGGGGGATGGGGGAATGTGAGGCGGTGGGGGGATGGGGAAGGTGAGGTGGAGAGGAAGGTGAGGTGGTAGGGCCGGGTAGGCTGCAAGGGCGGGGTAGCAATGGTAGGGCAAGCACAAGCTGAGGCAGCTGGAGGGTCGGCTACAGCTGGTGCTGAAGAAACGCAAGGGTGGGGCTTATTTGAAGGTGAGGCGGTGGGTGGGACGGGTGAGGAGGAGAGGGAGGAGAGGGGTGAGAAAGGGAGGGAGGCGAGGATTTGATTTGATTCGATTGAAAATTAGAGAGAGAATGCAAGGTCGCGCTTGCAGTTACCTCACCTGCTTGATTTTCCATCAATCCCCCCCTCTCCCGTTCCCCCTCTCCCGTTCCCCCTCTCCCGTTCCCCCTCTCCCGTTCCCCCTCTCCCGTTCCCCCTCTCCCGTTCCCCCTCTCCCGTTCCCCCTCTCCCGTTCCCCCTCTCCCGTTCCCCCTCTCCCGTTCCCCCTCTCCCGTTCCCCCTCTCCCGTTCCCCCTCTCCCGTTCCCCCTCTCCCGTTCCCCCTCTCCCGTTCCCCCTCTCCCGTTCCCCCTCTCCCGTTCCCCCTCTCCCGTTCCCCCTCTCCCGTTCCCCCTCTCCCGTTCCCCCTCTCCCGTTCCCCCTCTCCCGTTCCCCCTCTCCCGTTCCCCCTCTCCCGTCCCCCTCCCGTTCCCCCTCTCCCGTTCCCCCTCTCCCGTTCCCCCTCTCCCGTTCCCCCTCTCCCGTTCCCCCTCTCCCGTTCCCCCTCTCCCGTTCCCCTCTCCCGTTCCCCCTCTCCCGTTCCCCCTCTCCCGTTCCCCCTCTCCCGTTCCCCCTCTCCCGTTCCCCCTCTCCCGTTCCCCCTCCCGTTCCCCCTCTCCCGTTCCCCCTCTCCCGTTCCCCCCTCTCCCGTTCCCCCTCTCCCGTTCCCCCTCTCCCGTTCCCCCCTCTCCCGTTCCCCCTCTCCCGTTCCCCCTCTCCCGTTCCCCCTCTCCCGTTCCCCCTCTCCCGTTCCCCCTCTCCCGTTCCCCCTCTCCCGTTCCCCCTCTCCCGTTCCCCCTCTCCCGTTCCCCCTCTCCCGTTCCCCCTCTCCCGTTCCCCCTCTCCCGTTCCCCCTCTCCCGTTCCCCCCCTCCCGTTCCCCCCCTCTCCCGTTCCCCCCTCTCCCGTTCCCCCTCTCCCGTTCCCCCTCTCCCGTTCCCCCTCTCCCGTTCCCCCTCTCCCGTTCCCCCTCTCCCGTTCCCCCTCTCCCGTTCCCCCTCTCCCGTTCCCCCTCTCCCGTTCCCCCTCTCCCGTTCCCCCTCTCCCGTTCCCCCTCTCCCGTTCCCCCTCTCCCGTTCCCCCTCTCCCGTTCCCCCTCTCCCGTTCCCCCTCTCCCGTTCCCCCTCTCCCGTTGCCCCTCTCCCGTTCCCCCTCTCCCGTTCCCCCTCTCCCGTTCCCCCTCTCCCGTTCCCCCTCTCCCGTTCCCCCTCTCCCGTTCCCCCTCTCCCGTTCCCCCCTCTCCCGTTCCCCCCCTCTCCCGTTCCCCCTCTCCCGTTCCCCCCCTCTCCCGTTCCCCCTCTCCCGTTCCCCCCTCTCCCGTTCCCCCTCTCCCGTTCCCCCCTCTCCCGTTCCCCCTCTCCCGTTCCCCCTCTCCCGTTCCCCCTCTCCCGTTCCCCCTCTCCCGTTCCCCCTCTCCCGTTCCCCCTCTCCCGTTCCCCCTCTCCCGTTCCCCCTCTCCCGTTCCCCTCTCCCGTTCCCCCTCTCCCGTTCCCCCTCTCCCGTTCCCCCTCTCCCGTTCCCTCACTCCCCCCCTCTCCCGTTCCCTCACTCCCCCCCTCTCCCGTTCCCTCACTCCCCCCACTCAAAAGTCACCTCTCCCGTTCCCTCACTCCCCCCACTCAAAAGTCACCTCTCCCGTTCCCTCACTCCCCCCACTCAAAAGTCACCTCTCCCTTTCCCTCACTCCCCCCACTCAAAAGTCACCTCTCCCTTTCCCTCACTCCCCCCACTCAAAAGTCACCTCTCCCTTTCCCTCACTCCCCCCACTCAAAAGTCACCTCTCCCTTTCCCTCACTCCCCCCACTCAAAAGTCACCTCTCCCTTTCCCTCACTCCCCCCACTCAAAAGTCACCTCTCCCTTTCCCCCACTCCCCCCACTCAAAAGTCACCTCTCCCTTTCCCCCACTCCCCCCACTCAAAAGTCACCTCTCCCTTTCCCTCACTCCCCCCACTCAAAAGTCACCTCTCCCTTTCCCTCACTCCCCCCACTCAAAAGTCACCTCTCCCTTTCCCTCACTCTCCCCCCCTCCCTCACTCCCCCACTCAAAAGTCACCTCTCCCTTTCCCTCACTCCCCCCACTCAAAAGTCACCTCTCCCTTTCCCTCACTCCCCCCACTCAAAAGTCACCTCTCCCTTTCCCTCACTCCCCCCACTCAAAAGTCACCTCTCCCTTTCCCTCACTCCCCCCACTCAAAAGTCACCTCTCCCTTTCCCTCACTCCCCCCACTCAAAAGTCACCTCTCCCTTTCCCTCACTCCCCCCACTCAAAAGTCACCTCTCCCTTTCCCTCACTCCCCCCACTCAAAAGTCACCTCTCCCTTTCCCTCACTCCCCCCACTCAAAAGTCACCTCTCCCTTTCCCTCACTCCCCCCACTCAAAAGTCACCTCTCCCTTTCCCTCACTCCCCCCACTCAAAAGTCACCTCTCCCTTTCCCTCACTCCCCCCACTCAAAAGTCACCTCTCCCTTTCCCTCACTCCCCCCACTCAAAAGTCACCTCTCCCTTTCCCTCACTCCCCCCACTCAAAAGTCACCTCTCCCTTTCCCCACTCCCCCCACCCCCCCCCCCCCCCC